ACTCGTTTGCTATGAAGCTGAAACTAAGATTACCAAGATAACCAAATTAAACTTTATCACAATTTTTTGGGTTTTTAAATGTATTTCTTTTCTTTGGAAAAGAGGGGGGGGGAGAGAAGAGTAGGGCTCCATTGCAGGACTGTCAATTTTAAGGGTCATGACTTCCGTCATTTTCAGTAAACTCCTTTCCATTCTTTTGTTTTGTTCACGTCAGTGTACATGTTCCCTTTCAGATAATACCCCAACCCCTCCCTATATAACACAAGCCATGACATCCAGTTCCCATGAACTAATGTCAATGCATGTATTATTCGTGTACAATTTACACATATTTTTATATCGTAGCAGAACCCACACAGACATCTTCTGCCCATTTGTGTTTCTCACAATAGAGACACTGGCTCATCTATAGTGTATCCAAAGACCTCCTCAGAGTATGCAGGCTGTGATATGATTAGCAGGTAGAAGGTGAATAAACCAATCTCAATACATGTATTATTCGTTCCCCACAAACACATTTTAGTAGAGCTCACACTGACATCTTCTGCCTATTTCTAATTCTCACAACAGAGGCACTGACCTCATCTATCCTGAATCCAAAGACCTCCTCAAAGTATGCAGGCTGGGATATAATCAGCAGGTAGAAGGTCCAGGAGCGGCAGAAGTTAGCCACCATGATGGCCCAAACCGGCATCGAGGTGACCAGCGCCAGCCAGGGGACGCTGTGAACCTGTGACCACCAGAGCAAGTGGAACTAGTCAAACCCTGTTGCGTTTCTTGAGTCCAGAGAAAGGTCGGAATAAACAGTTTTAAAATATAGGACCTTTTCCCACGCATTTAAGCGTGTTGGACATATAGAGTTAGATCTGTATGTTATAGACCAATTGGCACTTGGTCGTTGATGTTAGCATCACGCTGGTCGCCTTTATTTCCCAGCTCTTGTATCTGGTACCCACTAAAGGCTGAGTCGACCTGGGGGCCAAGGTCATTTCTGAAAAAACCTAGTTCTGTCAGGACTCGAACCCACTACATTCCGATCCCCAAGCGTGCATCTAGCCGCTGCACCACCGCGGCTCCATGAAGCAGCGGTGCCGGTGCGCAAAAAAGCCTGAAATATATTAAGGCAGACTAGCCATGAGATGTTTGTCTTGTCACTTCTGAACTGAACTTACTGCGTAGTCAACTGTCAGTACTAAAGTGGGGTCAGGGTGGTAGGTGAGACCCATCTTAGGCCACAGGTAGTGTCGACAAGTCTGACCCAGTCGAACTATCTTTCTTCCTGTCTGCCTATTTATCAGTCCATCCATCCATCCATCCATCCATCCATCCATCCATCCATCCATCCATCCATTGATCCATCCATCCATTCCTCCCTCCATCCATGCATCTAGTATCTTGTCCGTCTATTCGTTTGTCTGTCTGTTTCGTTGTAAACATATTTCCTTTTTGCCGTCTCACCTGTCTGTATATCTACCTGACTAGCAGACTGGCCATGTCTGTCTGTCTGTCTGTCTGTCTGCCAGATATAACTCTTTTACCCGCTTGTGAAAATCTGATTGAGGAACTACGACTGACTTACTTTGGTGCTAGCAACTCCAGTGTCCCCCTGACTGCTCTCGATATAATCCCTCTCTTCTTTGGATATTGTCGGATGTGTGGCCGGCTTCTCGTAGGACAAGAACCACCAGACCACGGACCACATGACGCCTAGAAAACCTGGACAGTAATCATAATAGTTATCATTGATTAGCTTCTCTCAATATGAAGATTTAAGTTAAAGCTAGTTCTTTACAGCAGAACCAGTCTCATCATTTTCAGGTTGTTGCAGTTTTTTTTCAAGGCAAATTTACGTTCAGTAGTTTGCCATTGCCACTCAAGTGTCGGCTCTGAATAACACTTCAGAAACCAGTGCAAGGCGCTCTGCTGCCAAATCTCCAACAGAAAAAAACTTTTAGAGCGTCAGTGGTCAGCCGGCTATCGGACATTTAGGCAATCAACGTATTCACACACCTAACGAAAATGATAGCAGAATATGTCTGTATACATCAAACGGTTTGGCCATGAAACAAGATTGGCATCAGACAGGGCACCACAGAGAGCAATGTTATACAGATACACCTGTAACAGAGCCAAAGGTCGACTACGCAGAAAATGGACCGCAGAAATATCAGAGACGCTGAAAAGTAATTTATACGAAGGGAACGGAAGGGTCCGTTCCAGAGATCTCTTCTTGCCTTGACGTCGCGAGGCATTCCACAAGTAGAGAAAGGAAGAAGAAGAACTAGTTCTTTCCTAATAAATCACTCCCTGATGACTTCACGGGGACAGTCCAATATTTTATAGGGTGTAAGACCGGGTTTTCCGGCTTTGTGGGAGATAGTCCACGACTCACATCAGTATGTCGCTACAGGGAAGATGGGAGATAGTCCACGACTCACATCGGTATGTCGTTACAGGGAAGATGGGAGATAGTCCACGACTCACATAAGTATATTGCTACGGGGAAGATGAGAGATAGTCCACGACTCACATCAGTATGTTGCTACAGGGAAGATGGGAGATAGTCCATGACTCACATCCGTATGTTGCTACAAGGAAGATGGGAGACAGTCCACGATTCACATCCGTATGTTGCTACTGGGAAGATGGAAAACAGTCCTCGATACACATCCGTATGTTGCTACAGGGAAGATGGGAAATAGTCCATGATTCACATCAATATGTCGCTTCAGGAAAGATGCCTGCTATATGCATAGTAGATTAGGATTTAGAACGAAAAATACACGTGTCAGTGGTATGAAACGCCTAATGTGTTCTGGGAGCCACATTGTGGCGGAAACAGACTTATACTCACTGGCCTCTTTCTCCACCTTCCCTCCGAAACAAGCCTGTAGTAAAAACGACTAATAAGGTGTGCTTCATTGTAAACGAATGAGCCAGATCTGTAAGACGGATCAGGTTCTATAACAAGACTAAAGATCAGAAATGGACGAACAGACAGTACTTTCCACCAGAGTTTACAACCAGTGAGCACAAAAATAATGCAAAAGCAGAAGAATTTTTGTTGGAAATTCTAAAAGCGGCTTTAAGGAATAATTGTTGATTTCCATTTCAAGAGCATCTTCATCGCATATCGGCTTTAGTCATGGGTGTTTCGATCTTCTCCACATCATTTTCTGAGTGTGTTTACACTGGCGACCCCTATTCTGAATTGGCTGATGTTGCGACTCGTGCATGGTTATTATGTCTGGCTGCACCATGTCGTATCTGAGTCAGATGATAATCATTATCCTCATGTTTGAGGTCTTCAACTCATGTTGTCTCTATTATAGCATTAATCAAATTCATTCTGCAAATGGAAGCTTCACTTCCCAGCGTTACCTCTGGCATTTCCTAGGAGAAAGTGTTACACATTCGACTCCAACAGCGTTTGTGTGTGAGTTTTTCTTTCTTTGGCTTATCCCATAGAGCACTTACCAAAACAATAGAATCCAGATTGCCAGCCTAGGTGTTTGGTCAGGAGTCCACTCAAAGGCATTCCCAGCACAGCCCCGGCATACGATCCTGAAAGAAATCATTATCTACATTTACGGTGGGAAACACCATTCCTTGAGACCACATTTCCCCTGGGAAATAGTTTTATGGGTGGTGATGGAAACTTGTGAATGCGAAGGAAGAAGTGAAGATCAGGGGATAAACCTGCCATTATACAGTTTGAATGGAATGGACATGAGGCGATTGCTTCTTGCCGCGTGCTAAACGTTGCACTGCTTTAGACATTTGCTACTGCTATTGTCGGGGTCGCTGCCACTGTTATTCCTGCTTTCACCATTACTACTGCTGCTGTTGTTGTCGCTGCCTCTGCTATTCCTGCTCTCACTATTACCACTGCTGCTGTTGTCGTGGTCGCTGCCTCTGCTATTCGTGCTCTTACCATTACTACTGCTGGTGATGTTGTTGTCGGGGTCACTGCTGTTGTCGTTGTTGTTGCTGTTATTGCTCCTACTATTACTATTGTTTTTGCTGCCGCTGTCGTTGCTACCACTACAGATACCACCACTTCGACAGCTGCTGTTGTACTAATACTGCTGCTGCTGCTCCAGCTGCTACTACGGCTACTACTACTGATGATGCTGATTTGATTGCTACCAGTACTGCTGCTGCTACTACCAGTACTGCTGCTGCTGCTACTACTACTGCTGCTGATTCAGCTACTACTACTGCTGCTGCTGCTGCTACTAATGCTGATTCTGATGCTGTTACTACTACCACTACTACTGCTGCCGCTACTACTGCTACTACTACTGCTGCTGCTACTACTACCGCTGCTGCTACTACTACTACATATGCTGCTTCTGTGTTACTGCTGCTGCTTTGCTGCTGCTCCTGCTCCTACTGCTGCTACTTCTACTACTACTACTACTACTACTACTACTACTACTACTACTACTACTACTACTACTACTACTACTACTACTACTACTACTACTACTACTACTGCTGCTGCTGCTGCTGCTGCTACTACTACTACTACTACTACTACTACTACTACTACTACTACTACTAATAGTAGTAGAATTACTACTCTGCTTCCTCGTGTGGGTTCTGGGGCCCTGTTATAGGATGAACACGCAACACTCACGTTCTGGATCAGGACTGCAGTCCAGAAATGGATGAACAACCAGAATTTTCTCAACCTGGGCGCCGTGAGCAAGTTCCACTCAAGCTGGGCGTCGTGAGCAAGTTCCACTCAACCTGGGCGCCGTGAGCAAGTTCCACTCAACCTGGGGTCCGTGAGTAAGTTCCACTCAACCTGGGCGCCGTGAGCAAGTTCCATTCAACCTGGGCGCCGTGAGCAAGTTCCACTCAACCTTGGCGCCGTGAGCAAGTTCCAAGGGTGCGTAAAGTTATTTTAAAAAATGTGTGCGTTTGTACTTGTAATAATCCGTTATACTAACTTTTTCTTTTTCAGTTTATTTGAAAATAAAAACAAAAAGCTAATTACTTTTCCTTTCATCAGCTGTGTGGAGAAATCTTATTAATATTATAACACGTGAATTTGATAAAAGATTAAGTAGGTGGGTGTATGTGTGCGTGGGGGGGGGGGGGGTGTCATATTCTCATGGGTTTAGGCGGGGGGAGGAGGGGGGGGGATGCCACCTGAAAAATATTGGAGACCAGTGCCCTTGTGTGTGATTTACATCGTTGTTTGTTCCCCTGTTAATAATGCTTGGGATTTTCGTTTTTTTGCCCTCCTGTTTTTAATCACGTTATGTTTGGGGGAGGGGAGGGGGGGGGTCAAGGGGAACTCAAAATAAACTGGTATGAAGGGGGGGGGGGGGAGGTTGTAAACCGCTCTACTAAAGAAAGATGAGAATAATTACCAGATATGAAACAGTCAAAACTACTCACCCTGATGATGACAGGGGCTATGTGACAGACGCAGCTAAAACAGTGACACTGGTACAATTGCTTACCGCAAAACGATATTGTTGCCAGCTTGGACCTTTCCAGGGGCGGCGCCCAGAATCTCCAGATTCCGTGGCATGCTGGGTATGTGACCCCCTGGGTGGCGGAGAAGCAGAGGCGTGTATTAGCGGGTTACTGTATCGAATGAGATAATACTGCAGACTACTAGAATGTTAAATGTTAAATTAGGAATCGACACCACAGCACATGGGACACTCCCATAAGCACCTCATCCCCATCTTCAGCAGCGAGCGAAGAGTTCTCATTCCTATGGCACCAGTAAATGTCTAATAGGATCTCCGTCTAGCTCTCACCTTGAGTGTTAAGCGTCGGCCGGATTCCCTGATAACTCCTAAAGTTAGAAGTATTTGATTTGTAGACGTTTTGATTTCGAGCAGGATTCTAAATCTTGTGTGAGAAAAAAAAAGCGATTAAAACTATTTAACTGTCATTGAAGAACTATCACGGGTGCTCTAATATAAATTCCTTGGAGGTTGAACGGGGTATCTGGGCTTTGTCTTGTTGGTTTTCCATCCAGGTTGTGGCTCTTGAAGTCGCCTGGATGGCCAAGCGTTGATAGTTTCATAGTTGAAGAGGTGTCTCCTTTACAGGACGTTACAGAACATTTGTGGGCTGCTTAGTTTATCTAGGCAGTTTTACATTCAGTAGCTTGCCGTTGCGTTCTTAACGGTCGGCACTCGAGACCAGTGTAGGAATCAACACAAAGCGGTCTGCTGTCAAATCGCACGCAGCTAAAATCGAACAGGGTACCTGACAATTACGCAAAGCCTCCACAACGGCAAAGCCACACACGTTGGTCTCCCATACCATGAGCTAGTTTGGGTGTGTGTTTTTTACTAGACCCATGTTTTTGAATGAGTTGTTACATGCTGTTTTTCACCGTGGTGTGGTGGTTAGATGCCAGCCTGCGGATCAGAAGGTCGTGTGTTTGAATCCGGCAATGACGGAGATAATATAGCAATGGGATGGCTAAATTAAACATGTTTAAGTCTAATGTCAAATCAATTGCTGCTGTGTGGAGTGGAACAACTCACAAGTTATGGATCCTTTTCTACACCTTCAGACGTATTGGGCGTATAGAGAAACCTATATAAAGACCAATCGGCATTCGGTGGGGCATGTAGTCAACGTTACACCGGTCGCCTTCACTTTCCAGGACTGTACCTGATACCCACTCAAGGCTGGGTCGACGTGGAACCAATGTTAGTTTTGAAAAAAAAAAAGTCTAGCTGTATAAGGACCCGAACGCACGACCTTTCGATCCAAGGCCGGCGCCTAGCCGCTACACCACGGGAACAGTCCGGAACATCTAGGGCAATTACTAATTATTCACTCACATAATTAAACATTCATTGACTGGTGCCTGCGCAGAATCGAGGGAATTAAAGGGTATGATAGAATCACTGGTGTAGAGCTAGATGCTGGCTTTGGATAGGACACACGTTGAGAAAACCTGAAAACAATAGAAATAAAATGTCTTTGCACCGAAACCCATAGGGGCATAGAAATAATGGAAGGGGGAAAACAACACAGGGGCATAGAAATAATGGAAGGGGGGGAAACAACACAGGGGCATAGAAATAATGGAGGAAATGGGGGGGGGGAGGGGTGGGGGGGGGGGGGACAAAAGCAAACAAACATACAAACAAACAAATGAACAAAAAATAGAAGAGAGCTAGAGAGTGAAGTTAAAAAGATTGGGAGGACATGGGGAGATCTGGATAGAACGACTTGGCGTGAGCTGGTTGAGGGCCTATGCTCCACTGTTGATTATAGAGGCAGAAGATGAAGAGATGGTGACAAGCCAGTCCGTTCTGTTGGCTTCCGGACAATGGTCGAGAGTATCTCACCCAGGAAGAGATGGAAGCCTCACACGTAATACATCCAAAGGTAGTAGCCGAGAAGACAGACAGAAAGTGTAACACTGAGCAAATAGTTCAGAGGAACTAACCTCAACCAGACCTTGGAGAATCCTCACGGAGATGACCAGCCCATAATGCACCTCGGCTGCGGCAGGCAGTAACATGTTGAGGCAAGCGGAGACTCCGATGGCGACACCGAACAGCCTGCAAATAGATGATCAGACTAGTTTGGGAAATATTATTTGCTCACACAGCCACCAGTTTTAGTACAGACAGAGCACCTCCGATGTGACCTAGCAAAGACAGAGCACCTCTAATATGACCCAGTACAACCAGAGCCTCTCTAATATAACCCAGTACAGTCAGAGCACCTCTAATATGACCCAGTACAGACAGAGCACCTCTAATATGACCCAATACAGAGCACCTCTAATGTGACACAGTACAGACAGAGCACCTCTAATGTGACCCAGTACAGAGCACCTCTAATGTGACCCAGTACAGACAGAGCATCTCTAATGTGACCCAGTACAAACAGAGCACCTCTAATGTGACCCAGTACAGCCAGAGAACCGCTAATGTGGCCCAGTACAGACAGAGCACCTCTGGTCTGACCTAGTACAGACAGAGCACCTCTGGTCTGACCCAGTACAGATAGAGCACCTCTGGTCTCACCTAGTAGACAGAGCACCTCTGGTCTGACCCAATACAGACAGAGCTCCTCTAATGAGACCCAGATCAGACAGAGCACCTCTAATGTGAGCCAGTAAAGACAGAGCACCTCTAATGAGACCCAGTACAGAGTACCTCTAATGAGACCCAGTACAGACAGTCCCTCTGGTCTGACCCAGTACAAACAGAGCACTCTAATGAGACCTAGTACAGACAGAGCACCTCTGGTCTCACCTAGTACAGAGCACCTCTAATGTGACCCAATACAGATAGAGCACCTCTGGTGTGACCAAGTACAAACAGAGCACCTCTGGTCTCACCTAGTACACAGCACCTCTAATGGGACCCAGTACAGATAGAGCACCTCTGGTCTGACCCAGTACAGACAGAGCACCTCTGGTCTGACCCAGTACAGACAGAGCACCTCTGGCCTCACCTAGTACAGAGCACGTCTAATGGGACCCAGTACAGATAGAGCACCTATGGTCTGACCCAGTACAGACAGAGCACCTCTGGTCTGACCCAGTACAGGCAGAGCACCTCTAATGTGACCTAGTACAGACAGAGCACCTCTAATGTGAACCAGTACAGAATGTGCACCTCTAATGTGACCCAGTACAGCCAGAGTACCTCTAATGTGACACAGTACAAACAGAGCACCTCTAATATGACCCAGTACAGTCAGAGCACCACTCATGTGACCCAGTACAGACAGAGTACCTCTAATGTGACCCAGTACTGACAGAGCACTTCTTATATGACTTAGTACAGACAGATCACCTCTAATGAGACCCAGTACAGACAGAGCACCTCTAATGTGACCCAGTACAGACAGATCACCTCTAGTCTGACATTGTAAAGACAGAGCACCTCTGGTCTGACCTAGTACAGACAGAGCACCTCTAGTCTGACCCAGTACAGACAGAGCACCTCTAGTCTTACACAGTAAAGACAAAGCACCTCTAGTCTGACACAGTACAGACAGAGCACCTCTGGTCTTACACAGTACGGACAGAGCGTCGCTGTTCTGTTCTGACAGCTTCTGCAGCCTAGTCACTTCCAAACGTATGTTACCCGTTCCTTTGAGTAAACAAGGCAGTCTTTGGGAGAGATCGTGTTTCATGGGCAACAAATAGTCTCTAAAATAATGCCCAGTGTTGGTGCTGTTGGCAAGTGGAACTACATCTCTGGCCTTAACTGGCTGTGATCCATATGCTTGAAGGCTTTGCTCTCCTTTATACATTTTATGAGCTCTGCGTAAACGCATAATTTATACATATACCACATACACACACACACACACACACGTGCGTTCGTACACACACACACACACACACACACACACACACACACTTGACCACATGGTGTCATCGGGTGTTTTTCGCTTGTGTGATGTCCTGGTGGGGTAGAAAGTCAGTCAGTCAGTGTAACATTATTATTGCAAATTCCCGTTCAACTTTCTGTTGTAATCTAAGTAAATTGTAGCCTGACCTGGGAAACAGTTTTTATAGCCCATATCGTGTAGCATTAGTAGTCATGTCTATTCACGACCTTCTGTCTCGTGTACCTTCACTCACTTCTGACGCAGATGATCTCCAGTAGTATAATTTCAAACTGCCCAGGACCTTCTCTCTCGGTCTCCCTCTGCCTTTTCCCCCGTTAAGCGTTTCCACCGTCACGACGTGCTCCAGTCTTCCCCATCTCATCACATGTCCAAAGAAAGCAGATTGTCTCATTCTGTTGTGAGCAAGCTGTTCTCTTCGTGAAACAGTTTTTTTCAAGACATCTTCATTATTGTCTTTTTCATCTGTTAAAAAACAAGTGGGGAAAACAAAAAGAGAGAAAAGATTCACAGTTATCTTCCACCTGGTTGCAGACAGCCTCGACGCCAGGTAGCCTCCAGGGATCTGTGTCACAATGTAGCCCCAGAAGAACGAGCTGTCCACGATCCCGATGGTTTCAGGGGTCCAGCTGAATTCAGGCTCCTGCCGAATGAAGACATATATATTATATCTATCTATCTATCTATCTTGATATGAGCACCAATGGACGTGACCGGAGTGCCGTGAAGATAGTCCAAATCCTAACTCATAAAAGTAAAGTAAAGGACCCTTTTCCATGCTTTTAGGCATATAGGGCATATAGGGCTAGACCTGTATTTTACAGACCAATCGGCACGAGATGGGTGATGTGGTCAGCATTACACCTGCCGCCTTAATTTCCCGGGACCGCACCCGGCACCCACTCAAGGCTGGGTCGACCTAGGAGCCAGGGTAATTTTTGAAAAATGTCTGGCTCCGCCAGTGAGCGAACGCACGGCGACTCCCCAACTCATAACTCATATATATATATATACATACATTATGGCTGTACCGAATAGTTATTTTCACTATTCGGCTAAATACGAATAACGGGACCAACTATTCGGCCGAATACGAATACAAATAGTGCATAGTGTAAAAAAATATATCTTTAAAACACACACACACACACACACACACACACACACACATTCATAATGTCAAATGTACGCTGAACCTTTCCTTCACATAAAGTAGCATAGAATCACAGAATAGTCATCTTCTTCTTTAGCATTCTGAGCCCTTGAGATTTACTGCTGCAGATATCACTCGTCTCCATTCATATCTCTGGCTGACCTTATCTTCACAATTTGTGACACCAGTTGTTTGCAGGTCTGGCTGGGCATTACCTCTGGATCTTCTTTTTTGTCTGCCTCGTGGTCTACGCTCATTCCTCTTTCAGGTGTATACAGTTTTTACTTCTCTGTCATCTGACAATCTTTCAATATGCCCCAACCATTTCAGTCTGTTAGCTCTCATGATGCCAGTGATCAATGGTGATTTAAACAGATTATGTGTTACGTTGTTGCTTCTCACTCTCCATTCCTTGCTGTTAGCATCTTTGATGGGTCCAAAGATTTGTCGTAAGACTGTTTTCGAAAAACTGTATTAAGGCGTCATCTCTTTTATTTCTGCGTCAAGTTTCAGAGCCATATAAAACGACTGGTCTTTTCAATGTTTTATATATTTTGATCTTGGTGTTGCGAGACAGACACTTTGACTTTAGCAAATGTTGAAGGGCATAGTATACTTTTTTTTTCTAGATTGTAGTCTAGATTGTATTTCTTCTCTCAGCATGTTGGAGCAGTTGAAGTTTACCCCAAGTACTTATATGTTTCCTCTCGTTCGATTTTCATATTATCGACTTGGATGTGGACGGAGTTTATATTCTTTCCATGTCTAGTTAGTATTCGTACAGAATAGTAAACATTTAACAAAATGTTATGTTTTCCATCCTTCAGTCAGTCTGTGGTAACTAATAACTATGTATGAAAAAATCCTAAGTATTAGAACAAGTAACTAAACTTGGAAATTGTCAATGTCAGCTTAGTTAAAGCATGAAAGCTGCATTAGCTTTCAACAAAACCAATCGTTCCATGTTGTCAGTATTGAGGCCATGTATGCAAACGCGGGTGTAAGGTAACAACTATTCGTATATATATATATATACACACACACACACACACACACACACACACACATAAATGTATATACAATTTAACATGCATTTGAACTTTTGTTTTTTAGCTGTGTGTGTGTGTGTGTGTGTGTGTGTGTGTGTACACCCTACTTTTAATCTTCCTCATCCTTCTCCTCCTCCTCAGCATTCCGAGTCCTCGAGGTTCATTACTTCAGATATCGCCCGCCTTAGTTCATCTCTCTCATTGGTCTGTTCCTTCCAGTTATTGAAGAGGTTTGCCTGCACCAAAACTATGCAGTGAATAGATCATCAACAAAACAACGGAAGTCAGTGTCACTTCACAAAGCCATACCTCTGTCTGCTCTTTGATGTCGCCTCCTTCACTGGCTTTGCTGTCTTTACTCAGAGTTTTGGTCATAACCACAACAGCCACGCCCATGTTGCAGCGGATCCCGAAGGAGAGCAGGAAGCCGACAGAACTGAGCAGGGCGATCTGGTATCGCTTGGGGATGCTCAACCTGGCCACAAGTGAGAGAAACAAGCATGGCGCTTAGTCTGTACACAAAGACCCCGTGGTAAATCGGAGCTCATCAATGTTTGTTCCTACACACGAGCTTGACATGAAAACCGTAACAGTGTTATTAAAATTATAGTAACATTGACAGTAGCTTGTAACCTGTCAGTTTTGTTGCTATGAATGTCGAGAGTATTAAGCTCATGTCATCTTAGTGCAGACAAATGCGGCACTTCATGATGGCAGTTTAAAGATGGCAGCCCCACTTTTGACATGCACTAGAGAGAGGCAGCGTTCTTTTATCTGTTTAAAAAAAAATACAATAAAGCAGTGATGGGCCGACATTCGTAGAAAATATATAAGAAACTTGTTGGGTGTGAAGTAAGGTTGGTCGTGTCCAATGTTCAGTGGTCTACAGAAATATGAGTCTAGAAACTGTAATAATGATTCGCCTTTGGCATAAAAAGGGTTGTTTATTGACTTATATAATACAAGAAGATATCCAACAAATGCCGATTGTATGTAGCAAATGTATCCTCAACTGGTCATATAACACGCCGGAACTCATACTGCTGTAATATAATAATAACACCACAGCGGAATCATGCACAGCAGAAGTCCACCGATCATCAATAGGTGGGTCCCTCGTTCGACAATTGTTTCGGCCCTGTTATCCTCCCAGATAATCTCAGAGCGCGGGCCGGCCAGGGTTATGACTCCAGGCCTCGGACTTCTGCTGCGCTTTATCTGACATTCTGACAAGACCAAAAGCGGTTTTGCAATAGGTACTGAGGTAATGATCCTATATATATATATATATATATATATATATATATATATATATATATATATATATATATATATATATATATATATATATATCGTCGCTTAGGACCAGAGTCACAAGTTGACTCTGAAATGGGGCATGTTGGTACTTGCCTTGTAAGCAGCCAATTGTGTCAGAATTTCTCCATAAAGAGAAGGAAAGTATAGTGAACATTCACAAGCATGTGTGTCAAGAAGTACAGTCAGTCGCTGGGTTCAGAGACTTAAAGAATTAGGAAGTGGAAATACCGAGCTGCTTGACTGGCCGCGCTATTGACGTCCTGTCACAGCCAACAGCGCAGAAATATTGAAATGCACCGAGGGCGTTATTGTTACTGATAGGCGAATCACTTCTCAACGATTCCCTTTACAGCTGTCAGCCAGCAGTGGTTATTCAAATTCAGTGGTAATGCAAAAGCAGTGATACAAACTCTGGTTTCTAAGGTTTAGGTGAGGTTGGTTCCTCGGACTCTCACAGCTGATGATCGATGGCAGAGAAAAGAAAACAATTCTGAATTGTTATAGTGTTTCAGTTCTGATGGAGAGAACTTTTGTGGTTAAGATCGTTACAGGTGACCAAACCTGGCCACGTCATTTTCAACCTGAGACAACAAGACAGTTACTGGAGTGGTATCATCCGATTTCAGCACGAAAAAAGCAATTCAAGACAATTCCTTCTACGGGAAAGGTCATGACCACTTTCTTTTGGAACAAGGAAGGTTGTCAAGAGGGAAGACATTCAGTTCGCAAGCTTACATCAAGACATTTGAGGAAAGGGGGGGGGGGGGGAATGTCAGTCACGGTTTTGGCAGAGTTAGACCGCAGAAGAATCCAGCAGGCCTGCTTTACCTTCACGACAATTGTGTATTACTGGCTGAACGCCCCTCGTAAATTTGTCTAATCACAAACGACGGGATCTATGGTATGTGCTCCTGGCTGCTTCTCAACATTGACATGTTAATCCCCCGGACAGTAATTCTGGAGAGAAACTGTTATCATCCCCACCACCTGAAAGTAATGCGAAAGTGATGCTATGTTGTATGTTGGACCAGTAATGCGAAAGTGATGCTATGCTGTATGTTGGACCAGTAATGCGAAAGTGATGCTATGCTGTATGTTGGACCAGTAATGCGAAAGTGATGCTATGCTGTATGTTGGACCAGTAATGCGAAAGTGATGCTATGCTGTATGTTGGACCAGTAATGCGAAAGTGATGCTATGCTGTATGTTGGACCAGTAATGCGAAAGTGATGCTATGCTGTATGTTGGACCAGTAATGCCAAAGTGATGCTATGCTGTATGTTGGACCAGTAATGCGAAGTGATGCTATGCTGTATGTTGGACCAGTAATGCGAAAAGTGATGCTATGCTGTATGTTGGACCAGTAATGCGAAAGTAATGCTATGTTGTATGTTGGACCAGTAATGCGAAAGTGATGCTATGTTGTATGTTGGACCAGTAATGCGAAAGTGATGCTATGCTGTATGTTGGACCAGTAATGCGAAAGTGTTGCTATGTTGTATGTTGGACCAGTAATGCGAAAGTGATGCTATGCTGTATGTTGGACCAGTAATGCGAAAGTGATGCTATGCTGTATGTTGGACCAGTAATGCGAAAGTGATGCTATGCTGTATGTTGGACCAGTAATGCGAAAGTGATGCTATGCTGTATGTTGGACCAGTAATGCGAAAGTAATGCTATGTTGTATGTTGGACCAGTAATGCGAAAGTGATGCTATGTTGTATGTTGGACCAGTAATGCGAAAGTGATGCTATGCTGTATGTTGGACCAGTAATGCGAAAGTGTTGCTATGTTGTATGTTGGACCAGTAATGCGAAAGTGATGCTATGCTGTATGTTGGACCAGTAATGCGAAAGTGATGGTATGTTGTATGTTGGACCAGTAATGCGAAAGTGATGCTATGCTGTATGTTGGACCAGTAATGCGAAAGTGATGCTATGTTGTATGTTGGACCAGTAATGCGAAAGTGATGCTATGCTGTATGTTGGACCAGTAATGCGAAAGTGATGCTATGTTGTATGTTGGACCAGTAATGCGAAAGTGATGCTATGTTGTATGTTGGACCAGTAATGCGAAAGTGATGCTATGTTGTATGTTGGACCAGTAATGCGAAAGTGATGCTATGTTGTATGTTGGACCAGTAATGCGAAAGTGAT